CAGTTTGGATGCCCACTGGATTTTTTGGGGTGGTTTGATGTGGTACTCTGTGAGATGACAGCTCAGCCCTAAAAATTTCAGTATCAGACATGACAGGAAAAGTCATAGCTGTTTCCTCACATGGTTTTTTTTGCTTTCTAAATAATTTAAAAATGTTGTAAAATCTAACTTTTAAAGTTTTTTTTAACCCTGGTTTAATTTAATCAAAATTAAAAATTATTTTTGTTTATAAAATATTGAATAATTAAATAAAAGCAAAATATACGCAAGCAATACAGACTCTTAATTACATGGTTTTATACAAAATGACCTTTTTAAAAATTAATTCCTGCTCTATTTCTGCACTGGTATAGAGTTGGAGGCTGATGGTGACTTCTGTCTTGTCAGTAAAACCACGTGATTGTCATTTCTTCTTTTTTTCCCCAGTGACGGAGGGATGGTGAGGACACTAGAAGAGAAATTGTGAATGAGACATAAATCCCAAATCAAGCAGGATTAGAGGGACTTCGAGCCACTGGCCCAGATCTAAACCTGGAGTCAATTGAACGGGTTTTCTAAGGTCTGTTCATTCAAAGTACTGAGTTCAAAGCCAATATCACTGACATTACAGCTGCGTTCCTGACACTGCAGGTAGGTGACTGTGAGGACACAGACAGATAATCAAGTGGAGGTTTAGCCTTGGTGGGAAAAATCTGTAATTCAAGGATCAGACTTGCCTTCATATTCACATTGAATTTGCTAAAAAATAAGGTGAAACAAAAACCTTACAGCTACAACCCCAAACTTATTGACCAGTGGACATCACGGATTAGAGCATGAACATAATACATGATTTTTAAGGATTTTTAAATTGGATAAAGGATATTTTTGAGTTCTGACTTAAGCTGGATTTACATCAAAGTGACCTGATGTAGTTTTGGGGATTTCACCTGGATTATGAAGATTTCAGTTGATTTAAATGAACCATGACTGGTCTGATTGCCACAGTGCTGGTTCTCCGCTCAGGCCAACTGGACTACAAATCATCTTAGAAGTCTTGGGACTACAGCTGGTCTATGAGAATCTATCTACTGGAAGGAAGTCTCCAAGTTATAACACATTTTTAGGGATTACTTATCACATTATCTAAACGTGAGCAAGATCTGGACTACATAGCTTGGATAAACTTTTTCCTGCTGTTTGAAGGATGATTCTTTTCTAGCACGGATTTCGTTGAATGTTACTGGACTGTTATCCACCATGTCTCTGAGTAAGACCCTCGAGTTGGAGCATTTTGACGAACGTGACAAGGTTCGGCGAGGACGCTCCACCCGGACCAAGAGAGATGATTCCACCAGCAGTGCTGGTGGTGGAGGGTCTGGCCCGAGCTCCAGGGGCAGCAGCCTGGTCCCTAGTCCTGCTCACAGCGCCAACTGCAGCTACTACCGGACCCGCACCCTGCAGGCGCTCACCTCTGAGAAACGAGCCAAAAAGGTCCGGTTTTATCGCAACGGAGACCGGTACTTTAAGGGCCTGGTGTACGCTGTTTCTAGTGACCGGTTCAGATCGTACGACGCCCTGCTAATGGAGCTCACACGCTCGTTGGCGGATAACCTGCATCTGCCTCAAGGAGTGCGGGTGATCTACACTATAGATGGCAGCAAGAAGATCACCAGTATGGATGAGCTGGTGGAAGGTAAGACTGGCAGCTTGGTTTTCATTTTCTAACAAATTGTCAATCACAAACCTTTAGGCAATGAGCAAAAATGCCCAGCTGAGGTAGAAAATGTCACGCTTTAGTAGGCTATTGGTGCACACTTACTGTGGTTAGTACGAATATTTTAAGACTATTATCTGGATTGTGGTTAGGGCCAGTCTTGGCATTCTTTAATTTGATCCCTATTTACTCTACCAATACTCATCAATAATGTCTTTGTCGAAAGCATCTGATCTCCTGGATCATTTGTCATCATAAAATTAGTCAAAATTGGTCTACAGCCATTTCCATTCCTAGTTGACCACCTACACATTTGTTCCCTTTGTCAGATTTTTGATGTAGGGTGCTTTATATTAGCAGTGGTCTTGCTGACTATTGAATCTTTGTTTTATCTGCAAATGTTGCATATCCTTAAAATAGATATACAGTAGTCATTTGTCACTGAGTCATAATTTTGTGCAGACTTCAGTTGATTACTCTCACCACAGATCAATCAAATGGCCTGTCTTGTTTAAACTTCCTCATGTTTCCTTCCTCTCGGCTCTCTCTTGGCTTTTGTTATCCAAACATGCTTGAATTATTTATTCCTGTGTACATCAACAGCAGACTGATAAGTACATAATCAATACAGTAATACTCAAGGGTATATCGCTTTTAATATTCATTGGGGAAATAACCCAGGACCTGTCTGAGGTGTACAGCTGTTTCTGTATAAAAAGTATCATGTTGTCCACTACTGAATCGACCCCTGACACTATATATCCTGTAATTTGGTGAAGAATCCTATAAGAAAGTTTTCCCTGTGTAGTTTTTATGCACATGCAGATTTACAGCAGTGTTAATCCTATTGAAGATTTTAAGCTGGAGACTCCAAGTAAAGCTTGTGATTAATAAATAAGTGCATATGTGTTGGTTAAATTTTGGTGGGAGCAATTTAAGGTACTTGGAAAAATCTTAGGGACGTATCCCATCATCTCTACCATAGATTTTACCCATGGTGACACTATATGTGGGATAACTGAACCCACCAGTAAACACATAGTTCATTAAAGTTGAAGCAAAGGAAAATTGTGTTTTTTAAACATTTTATTGAAAATGACACCATCTCACCATCTAGTCACACTCCTTTCTCTTTTAAACTGAGATCCAATTAATTGAAACTGCAGGCAGTGATGATTGGGATCACAGACCTTTGATAGGTCTACCTGCTTCCTGTGGATATTTTAAGCCCAGGATGGATAACTGGCTGTTGCACACATACATCCATCAATTGTTTTGACCAACGTGTGACATTACAGAATATCCAATAATTACAGTTGTGGGTTTTTTTGTTTGTTTGTTTTTTGCTGTTGCCAACAGACCGTTCAGGGAAAGCCCACCAGCTTCGTCATTTAGCATCACCAAGATGTTTAGATTGGACTGCCCATATATTATGTGAATAATTAGTTGTCAGCTCAAAGTCTTCAATGGGATTAACATTGCAGTTGTTTGCCAATGTTTGACAAATGACTATTCTAAAGAATAATGCCTTGAAATGGCAAAACTTCAGCTTAGTGCAAATGCTGTAAAAATGGACTTCCTGTTGGGTTTCGTGCGGGCTATGTTATTGATATGCTATAATGGTGCTATATACACAGAACAATTTTGAAACATCTTGTGTATAAAACCTTTTAATTATGTAAGTTTTCACCACTTTTGACAGAATTTTTCAAGCACTTTTTAACCCCTTTAAAATTATTGTGACTTAATTACAGTAATAAAGAAAATATCTAGAAGACCAAACTGAGCAGTTCCACTAATGCCTTCACATATTCAGTGCACAGTCATCTAATGACCCATCATTATGTGGTATATCCTGTCTCCAATATCCTCTTATAAACATCAAGTGTACTTTATCTTATAAAGAAGCATGTATCTCATAAATGCTCATAAATCTTCTACATCTAAAATGTATACGCATGAACAATATTCCTGGATAATTTAACAGCAACTCCGAGGTCCACTCACTCTGCTCATCCTGTTGCCCCAAAGTCATTTAGTGAGAAACAGACCAGTGGCTGAGTAACATCACTTATCATCAATATTGATGAGTGACTGGTTTAATGTCCTCTGATGAGCGTTAGTGCCAGGAAGCTGTTCAGCCGGAGATCTACTAAAAGACAGATGCATCGCTCTGAAGCACTTAACAACGACAAACAGACCACAGCGGCTCAAAGCTGCGAGTGTGAAGTGGAAAAGTCATCGCTCACAACTTAACTGAGTATTCGGGATGTAACAGAGGAGGAAACATAGATCTGATTAGCTGTGCTGGAAAGCAGCTAATGCACTGGGATGATTGATCTGAGTGTGTCCTGCTGAATGTCAAGACTATTGGTTTAGCATTTCAAAAGTACTGTGACAGAGATTTCAAATATCATAACCTTTCAGGTTTTTCTAGGCTTGGCAGCAGCCATAACAATCAGCTCATATACATCATGTTTTATAGTTGTAATAAAATTATTATTATTTTTAATCCAAAGCATGTTTTAGAAAACCCAACTAAACCATTTCAGTGCTTAAGGAAGTCTGGTTTGCTTCATCATTAATGAATCACTAGAAATTTTCTTTGAACTTTTAAAAATTTTCCCTATTTTTAACAATATAATCACACAAAAAAAGTGTTTAAACTTTCTTGATTTTAATCTTATTTGAATCATTTTCCATTGCTTTTAAATTATAAGATTTTGTAAAGCACACTGTTTTATTAAATCCTAATTAAAATGAAACAAAACAAAAAAGTCTAAAAATAATAGGGAAAAGGGGGCTCAAACCTCAGTCTCCTGGGTGAAGGTCTATTTTTTGTCTATAAAAAGCCACGAAGGTGGAATTTGTAGCTTTTTATAGACAAAAAAACCTTGAGTCAAGTGAATTTAATGGACACAATAAAAATAATAAAGACAATAGCTTCAGAAAAGTTTTTATTTTGAAACTAATGCTTAAAAAATTGTCCCCAACTCCACAAATAAGCTGCAAATGTTTGTTAATTAATCAATGTGATAATTTCTTAACCTTAAAAGCTGAAATATTAAAAGTACCCTTCATTAAATTTCCAGTTTGTCGCGTC